CATCCTGGCCTCTGAGTGCCTCGACCAGAGCGTCCAATGACTCCATGTCGACCACCTTGACCGTGGCGCGAGGTTCCTTGACCGAATCAGGCTTGCGCACGAGTGCTGTGACGCTGAAGTGACCCGACTCGACCAGAGCCTGGAAGATTTTGGATCCAGCACTGCCGGTCGCCTAAGAATTGGATGAACACCATGAGACGAGCTAATATCCGCACCTGTGGAATATGACTTACACCGACGATGGCCACGTTCTTGATTTGCTGAGTCATTCTGTCGAAAGGGTTCGTTTGGATGTTTTGGTGTCTTGCACAGGTCTATCGAAGAAGAGATGAGATTCTGATATGTTTGATGTTGCAACTTCTTGGTGAGATCAGCGCCAGCCCTTGTCCTCTTATCATGTCTTCACGTCGAGGCTCATACGTGGCGGTCAAGACTGTTAGTCATGTCCAGAGCATGCACCCGTGTAACCAAGGTGTATCTGGCGCAGTCTTTCGCATAGCATCGATTACAAACCAGTAGGTCTTGATCAAAAGGGTGCTTGCTTCTCCGTTCTTGGTGACAAATCCCGTTGACCACCTGCATCTGCCGAGCATGAAGCTTCGAATCAGTCGTTGGCGCCTTCCGGGGCCCCGGCTTTTGCCACTGGCTTTCCGATCCACCTTGGGCCACGGAGGAGTTAAGCTTTACACGGATGATAGCTTGGATGCAGATGCCTCGCCAGCTGATGAGCTGGACCTGAACTAGCTCGCATTTCTGACGGCCCAGACCTGAAGATCGCGAGGTGGACCTTCGGGAGCCTCAACCCCCAGGGTCCACGACCTTTCCACATTGGGTATCAAAACCCGCCAAGCCCATAAAATCTTGGGTAGAAGTCAGTAGCACCAGCACCGTCAAAGCTCCAGCTGCGCACTTGCATGCCTCCTCAAACCCCGCGGTGTTTGACCTGCAAAGGAGATCTTCCAAGTTTGTAATATGACCAAGAAGATGGTGCCATTAGCAAGCGATCGGAAACATGTGGGATGATTGATCCACGTTTTAATCGAACGAGGAGGGGTTGAGGGGTAAATCAGGAGGTGGACGTCGACTCATGATGGTAGGATCTACTACTATAAGAAGACCATGGGATCCTGCTCTGCGACCCAGAAGACGGCCTTGGGCTCCGGGATTGGGAAGGCCATCTACACGAAGTGTAAGTATTCAGGTTCCTCACGGACGCCGGGAACAGCACGCCTCGGCAGCCAAGTACTTGCAACTCTCTGTCCCGGAGACTGAGAATGCAGCTACCTTCCCCTCCTTGGGACACCCGGGTCGCGGCGCCGTGAGAATCGCTTTGAGCGGTAGCTCAGCAGCCTTCGTCGTCGGCTTCGTCGGCAGTGCTTCCATGCTCATCCAGAACGAAGTCGGCAAGGCCGTTCATTGCGAGGCACATGTTGTTTGGCTGAGGTAAGGTAAGGTAGGTAAGAAGAACACTGTAACAGGCGAAAAGAGAATCCATGGACGGGAGCACTGTTCAGTTCAGCATAGTCCCACGTGCCCAATGCAAGCGCACCACGTTTTGCAAGCAGGCAGGCGGAGTGCAAAATCAGGGGGGGGCGGGGGCGTTCCTTGCGTCATCCAGTATTGAGTCGACAGGGAGGCCGGGATGTGCCGGGGTAAGTAGACCCAGACCGGCATAGGCCTTCGGCGTTACGAACGCTCATGCGGCGCTCGTTCTTAGCGACTTCTATTGTGACTGGACTGGTGTCACCGACTTCGGCAGTGCGATTTCAGGACCTGCCCACGATAGCGGGAGAATTCTTTTCCGCATGCTCATTCGATGAAGAGCAGGTGGTCAGTGCCCCTGGCCGGCGAGCCAAGATTCCTCAGGAATAACCATCACGACAGACATGGCTACATCCTCACCTGCCTATCAACTCTGCATTATTCCCTGGGTCACAGTCTAGGTAGATCGATTCGTTCAACACAGTGCGTCTCCAGAGCGTTTCATCAACACTGCCGTGTCATTGCGGGTGCCCTGCTGAATATCTCGTGTTGTCGTGGTGCCAAGCTAATCAGGTCGCCCCATCTCATCGGCCAACATTACTATCGCCGAAAAGACATCCCCCCACCCCATCCCACTCCAGCTCGGGCCTGGCATGAGCCCCGAATCTCCGCCCCGGGCCTCCCGGTCTGGGAATGCTGGTTTCGTCACGAGGCACTGCAATTTTTTCGGTGGTGATGCCTTCACAAGAGTAGCAAGAACAAACACCGACCACTTGGTCCTGTAGGGTGCAAGACTGTCAGCCAACAAGGTGCCAACTAGGTGCTATAAACAGCACGATTGAGTGACGGATACGACTTGAAGTTCTACCTCTGTGTCGACATGCTCGGCTGTCTGTATCAGGTCGGTCACAAGCACGATTGCCAAGGTTCAGCCTCAACGCTTGGCCGAGATATTTCTTCCCGACTTCCGACTAGGGGCCGTACCTTGACACCCGACAGCTTGGCGACATCACCGTTCTCTACCTCTTCGGAGGCTTTCCCAGTCTTTTCTAATGATTCTCCGGGTTTTCTCCATGATGCCTGCTAGCACACATCTCCATGACTCGACCCCACGGCCATCTCCAGGGCCAGCCAACCCCACTCCCGAGTCGTGACCAGTGCAAAACAAGCTTGCGTCGACCGGCCCCATGGGACCATCGCTGAACCTCCACCCGCTTCGTCAGGGGAACCCGCGATAATGGATGTCGGCCTCCCCCGATTTTATCCCCATGGGACATGATCCACGAGCCACATGACTGCACGGCCCTCATTTGCGGACACCGCAAATTCTAGGCCGGCCATGCAACGTGCTACGATGCCATCGCCGCCATGTGCCGCGAGGAGTACTTAAACCACGAGGAAACCCGCGTCCACGTGGCGAGGTAGGAGTCCAGCTGGATCATTGCAACAGACAACTCGACACATCCCCTCCACAGAGTGTCTCGCCTCGAAATAGTCACCATGACCGATGCTACTCTCTCGGCCGCCGGGCACGGCTCGACTCTTCCTTGGTGGAAGCAGCCTCACCTCCTCAAGCTCAACTTCATCATCCTGTCCCTGGTGATGTTCTGTGAGTACCTGACCGGACTTCTATCATGTCACAACAGACGATCCCACTAACACGCACCTCCTCCCAGCATCGGCAAACGGATACGATGGCAGCGTGATGGGCGGTGTTCTCGCCCTCCCCTCTTGGAACGAGTTCATGGAGTTCCCCACCGGCACATACCTCGGCTGGATCAATGCTATCTACTGGCTCGGCAACGGCATCGCTTTCCCAGTCGGTGCCTGGTTCTCGAACAAGTACGGACGCAAGCCTGGCGTCTACATCGGCTACGCCTTCCTTGTCTTGGGTATCGGCATGCAATCCGCCGCACAGAACGAGAAGACCTTCACCTACGCCCGTCTCTTTATCGGTATTGCCTCCGCCTGGCTGAGCATCTCCGCCCCCGTCCTGATCAACGAGATCGCGTACCCGACTCACCGCGCCATCGCCAGTGCCCTCTACATGTGTGGCTACTACGTCGGCGGTACCATCTGCGCCTGGGTTACCTTTGGTACCAGGACTATCAACTCCGATTGGGCCTGGCGTGTCCCGATCCTTCTCCAGATTGCCCTCCCGCTCTTCGCGCTCCCTGGCTTCATCATGGCCCCGGAGAGCCCGCGTTGGTTTGTCAGCGTCGGCCGCCCCGACAAGGCGACTCTGGTCCTCGCTGAGTACCATGCCGGTGGCCGTACGGACGATCCCCTTGTTGCATCCCAGATGATCGAAATCGAGACGACTATTACCGCTGAGAAGGAGGCGAATAACAGCGGCTCGTACCTCGACATGTCCCGGACCCCGGGCAACCGTCACAGGCTGGTCATCTCCGTCACACTCGGCTTCATCTCCCAGTGGGCCGGAAATGGCGTCGTTTCATACTACCTCCCGCTGGTGCTCAACTCGGTGGGCGTCACGTCGGTCACCAATCAGACCCTGATCAACGCCTGCCTCAACGTGTGGAACCTGCTTTGGGCAGTTGCTGCCGCTCTTTCGGTCGATCGCCTCGGCCGTCGTGCGCTGTTCCTTGCCTCTGCTGTCCTTATGTTCTCCAGCTTCGTTATCGTTACCGGTCTCAGTGGCTCCTTCGCCGAGACCGGGTCCTCCGGCGTGGGTCTCGCCGTTGTGCCGTTCCTCTTCCTCTTCTTTGCCGGCTACGATATCGCTCTGTAAGTTCCCCTCTCTGTCTCCATCATCACGACCCCACTAACATCCCTTTTTTCAGCACTCCCCTCTTGGTCGCCTATCCCGTCGAGATCTGGCAGTTCAGCCTGCGTTCGCGCGGCCTGACTGTCACCTGGGTGACTGCCATCGCCTCCGTTTTCCTCAACACCTTCGTCAACGGCCTGGCCCTGGAGCAGCTCGGCTGGAAGTACTACATCCTCTTCTGCGTGCTACTCTTCCTCTGGATGTTCTTCGTCTACTTCGTTATCCCCGAAACCAGGGGCCACACGCTTGAGCAGATGGCTGTTATCTTCGATGGAGAAGACGCAGTTCCCGGACAGGCCGTCGTGCTGCAGGAGAAGCTGGACGCGGAGGGTGATGTCAGCCATGTAGATGTCACTGCTGAGAAGTAGACAAAGCTTTTGCTTTGCCTAGGCAATTAGACAATTGATTTCGTCCGTTTACCATTTTCCTTCCCGTTCAACTGCAGTGTTTTACGTGTGAAATCGCTGGGCAGCAGGCGCATGTGCAGGTTCAACATGATCACATGGAAGTTGTCCTATCCTGATCCATCAACCCGACCTGGATTCCTCCCGAAAATAGGTGCCCAAACCTAACGAACCCCACTCACTTTCTCCTTCCACGGTAGGATGTCTGTTAAGATGTTGCATTCCGCCTTTCTCGGCGTTTTTCGACCCCTTGGCGACAACTGCTTTCATCCTGGGGAAACGGTTTAGACTTCATAGACTAGCAAGTACCTTGTCATTATAACAACGGCCCGATGGTGTAGTTGGTTATCACGTCAGTCTAACATCTCCGGATGGTTCACTGAAGGTCGAGAGATCGAGCCTCTCTTGGGTCATTGTTTTTGCTTTTGCCCCCACTTTGACATACATGTCTTCCAGGCGCCCACCACCACCACTCCATCCAAATCGTTCTTTTGTTCTTGCTCCTCATCGACACCATAAAGATTCAAGATGTGACCTGACTTCTCTTGAATTAGGATGTATTAAATATCTGTTGTGGTGGGTTGCCTCTACAACCCCAGAAACCCTGGCGCATCGACGTCAGGTTCATCTTCCGGCTCGCTCTGGGGAAACTCGATCCCCATGCCGTCGTAAAACGTCCCCCTATCCTCTTCCACCTCGCCGCCCATGAGCCACTCGTCCCCGATGAACGTTCTCTTCAGATCATCGTGTAGCGTATACACCTCCTTCGACTGTCTGACGTAGTCCGCATCGGCAAACGCACCAGGCTGCAAAGGCCGGCCGTGCCGCCGGTAATACCGCCTGATACGGACCTGACGGACCTTCGCAGCGATGCGGCGCTCGTCGTCCAGCCGGGCGACCACGGCCCGCGACATCATGATGCGGTTCATGCGCCCGTCGTTCATGGACCGTATAATCTCCTTCCAGTTCCGCCTCGGGCGGTGTCGGTCGCCCCATTTCCGATACTCCTCCTCGGCGAACAGCGCCGTCATGGCGGGTCGCCACTCGAATGAAGCGCGGAAGCGGCGACAATCAATCTCAAGCCCCGGCAGCTCCGTATCGTTGGCGATGCGGCGCATGACGAAGACGTAGGGCGGTGCGTCACGGCGATTCGCGGGCGGCGGCGCCAGGTACGCCGTCGCCCTCGCCATCCACTGACGGACACACTCGTCGTGGACGGTGAGGTCCTCGTCGCCCAGCAGCCGTGCCGCACCGTGCTCTCCCGCCATCGCCTTGTCGGTGTATATGGCCCTTGACCCGTCTTCGGAGAAACGGTCAAAGTCGAGGGCAAAGTCGAGGTTCTGCGGCTCGCGGTTCTCGTCGATGACGGGGTCGAAGGCGAGGAACTCGAGGCGACTGCGGGGTATGTGTTCGGCGGCGAAGACGGACTCGGTGGCGTGCTTGAAGAAGCGGGAGACGCGGCGGAAGTTGAGCCACACGCGCGGGAGGTATCGCGAATCGGTTATGCTGGCGATGACGAGGTACCAGAGCTCCGGTGGGAGGAAGGGGAGGGGGCGCTCGCGGCGGCATTCGCGCGTCGTGACGAGGGGGAGTTTGGACTCAGCCAGCACCGTCGTCGTCGTCGTCGTCGTTGTCGCCATGTTGTTTTCGTCTGGTCATTGGGCAAGGTATCTTTTGTCGGGCGCAAGCGAGGGTTCAAGGGACATGAAGGCCGCGGCGGCGGGGAAGACCGGCCTGGTGTCGGACACGGGCGGCTGAGGGCATCACCGGTTCGGGAGCGGTTGGTCGCACAAGGCAAATGTCGATCACCTGCAGGACCAAAGGGCGGCGGATAATATTGGATGGATTTATTGGGGGAGGCGTCGTCACTCGCGCGGCCGCCATTCGTCTGTTGGGGTCCGGAGCCCCGTCGAGAGTCCGCTTCCGGGTTGCGTTCCAGGGTCGTTAGGCCGTTCGTCGTCCCTGATTCTCATGCCATTGACGATGGATCTTGTGTTTTTGCCGGCTCACCGATACGAGTGGCGTGCCAGGGAGGGCAGGTGCATGGCATGGCGGGATGATGGTTCGAAAAGGTCGGAGGAGAAATTGGACAAGTGCCGGCGGGCGCGCCCTGGATACGACAAGGACGGGGTCACGGGACATCGGGGCGTTGGAGCCGGGCCCGACTTGCCTCCCAGTGCTACCGTGACCCTGGCTTGCCTGGTCCGGTCCCTGAACGGCCCCTCTCCGCCGCCTGTCACCATCCATCTTACAGGGCTTTGCTCACTGCAAGATTCCATCTCCCTCGTGTCTGCTGGGTCCCCCCCACGAGTCAGTTTTCAAGATGATCATGCCCCCCACCTTCTATTGCCCTTCCTCTGCAACCCCAGAGGCCCCTATCGCGGGAAGGTCTTCCAGAAGCAGCATGGTCTTCCGGTCTTCCGATAGTTGCCCCTCTCTCAGGGCAGTGCAAGCCGGGCTTTATTCCAAGGACGACCCGTCCCAACACCAAGAACGGCTCCCATGAGGCCACGCCATGGTCAGGTTATTTCCCCGATGACCAACTATTTCTCCCAGAGTACCATCGAATTCTACCACCTAGAAAACTTGCCGATCAGGAACAGGCCCGTTCAGGGTGTGCCATCTCGCTTCTCACGCCAGGCCGCGTCATCTCCTCGCTTCGGCGCCGAAGGAAGTCGAACGAAGAAGACACCGGCCCCCTTCATCTCCCTTCCTCACAACTCACCCTTCTCTCACCGCCGAAGCCTGATATGAACTGGCATCTCGTCCTTGACATGAGGCGGTCCGTCCCTGCCCACCTGGTAGCAACGGTCCCCCCAGATCATCGCCGCCGTCTTGCTCGTGTCCCTGCCAGAGTGTCAGTATCTGGTGTCCATCACGCATGAGTTGGCGGCAGTATACCTCTTGTTCAGAGCGTCCCACTTGTCCCAGGCACACTCAATGTCGAACCTCCGCGCCAACATCACGGCCACAAGCTTGACCTCGACCATGGCGAGATGCTGGCCGATGCACATGCGGGGACCGCTCGCGAAGAAGCGCCAGCCATTCTTTGGCGGGTGCAGCGGATCGGCCTCGTCGGTGACGAGCCAGCGCTCGGGCAGGAACTCGCTGGCGCGGTGCCACACTTCAGGATCGCGGTGCGCGGCAAAGGTTCCATCCCAAACGACAAACTTTTCCGTCGGCAGGGCCATGCCCTCGTACTCTCCGGATCCTGGCGGTCCGTATATGAAGAAGCCCGGCTCGCCGCGCCGCATACTACCAACGTTGGTGTGAATGCGGGTCGACTCCTTGAAGATGGCCGCGGTGTATGGCAGGGCGTTCAGGAGGTTCGGGTTCTGGCGGAGGCGCTCGGCAGCTTGCAGAGGATCAGGCCCCAGGACTTCGTCGTGTTCCTTCCTCAGACGCTCGAGGACGGCCGGGTACTGGTAGATGACTCGGAGGTACCAGCACATGGTGGCCGAGGTGGTGTCGTGGCCAGCAAAGACGAACGTGTTGAGCTGCCCAATGGCCATCTCCGTCGTGGCCTTGTCAAGAACGAGAGGTCCGGTACCACCGGCCCCCTTCTCTGCTCTCTCCTCCTCGAGACTGGCAACAATGAGTTCGATCAGAGACTTGGATGGTGCTGGGCCATCGCCGCCCCTCGTTCGAGCTGCTGTCTCCTGGATGAGGGGCGTCAGCTCCTTGGTCAAAGAGCGGTAGCTCTGCCAGAGCTTGAACCTCCGCCATGGGCTGTAAAAGTCGAGGAAGTTGGCCACGTTGACGAAGAAGTACATGCGAGACATGATGTCGATGGTGGCTCTGGACGTCTCTGATCTCTGCTTCTGTTCGTGGAAGCGCTTGTTGCTAACAAGCCCCCGTGTCAGCAGCTGCACATGTCACTTGGGGGCGAGGATGGCACTGACAAGAAGAAGCGGAAGATGACATCCAGGGCCAGGCTGGTTGCGAGCTCTCCAAGCTGGAAGACGTCTCCCCAGTCTCCATCCTTGCCCGCCTTGCCCTCAAGGATCTTCACAAAATCCTCGACCTCTTCGATGATGTCCGGGATGCGGCTGGTGATGTACTGGATGCTGAAGCCAACGCTGAGACGTTTCTTCCAGGTCTTCCACTCTGCGCCCTCCATGGAACTCAGGTCGAGGTTCTTCGTCAGCGGGTAGAGAATCTCCTTCTGCTGGCGTGCTTTTTGCAACGAGTAGTCCGACGTGAACTGCCAGGAAAGGGCCGCATTGATAGAGATGACGGTTCTCGGCATCATCGGCCATCCGTCGAGGTAGATAACCGGTGGGCACGACTTGCACTGGGGGAAGAACCTCTGCCAGTTCTCCTGAATAATCATCATCATGTAGTCCGAGTGGGCGTCGGCTGGAAGCATCTCCATGATCTCGCCCATGACAGGGAGATGGCCCCAGATCCAGGAGTGCTTCATAATTGGCTGGACTACCAGTCAGCATGTTTCGGTGCAAGGAGCTTCAGCTGCGACTCACGATGCCCTGCTTCTCCAGATCTTTGTACGTCTTCCGAACTCTGTACCCGTTGACGATCGCGGCGGAGATAAGTACGAGGAACAGCCAGCCCGTCCCGCGGAGGACGTCAGACCATGCCGGAACAGAAAGAACGCCGAGCAGTGCCATTGTGACGAACTGCAACGTCTGCAAGGGAAAGACGAAGCCGCAAAACAGTCCTTGACGATGCGATCGAGAGGGGGAAAGGCGATGTCGGTGAGATCAGCAGCTCATTTTAGGTGAGGTGGCAGTGGCACCCAGGTGAGATACTAACTAGTACGGGCTTGCTTTTCCCCGGACAGCTGTAGCACGAGCAGCCTAACGCGTCTTGAGTATTTCTCCGCAACACCCATGCGAAAAGCTACTTGCCAAGGATAAGCTGACGGAATGATGCAGATAAGCTTCTTGGCTGCGCTGCAGAACGGATTTCCTCATACAGAAGCTTGCTAATTGCCCTCAGGCATTGGCTGAAGCTGATGCCATCCTTGCTATCACGCAGAGCAAGTTGTATCCTGGACTTGAATGAGTTCCTGATCTGCTTGGGTACATGTATTGACAGCAGAGGGAATACAGGGGTGACTTGATATGAGAACATTAGCAGGCAGTTTAGCGGCTGGCAAGTCGATCCAGTCCCCTGAACGGTCCCATTGAGATGGACCCGCGCGTCTACCAGGCACTCCGGTCGCACGACGTCAGGAACCGCTCAGTATCAAGCACCCTGCAGCATGGATGTTCAGTAGAGATTTCTTAGCTTTCCGACATTTGGCTAAGATCTTGGTCAACTGGTTTGAAGGGTGAAGAGATTCAATCCGACAGCATGCTTGGTAGCCGACAAGCACTCCTAATCGACGCTTGTTTGCCATGTTGTTGTTGACGGAAACAAGAGATCCCCAAATAGATGCATCGTCGCACCC